ATATAACGTAAAAAGCCATGTTATTTTTGCTAAATAATAAGTTAACAGATGGCGCCTCATAAGTATCAGCTTCTTCTTGTGTGCTTACAGCTGTTGTTGGAGGATGCTCTGGGGTGTTTGTTTTGACATCTTGCCGTGTGAATTGTGACAGGTACCGCTGAAACCTGAAGAAGAGTGGCTCTTCAGCAAATTTTTGTGTTTTTAATTCTAATGTCGTCGGAATTTATCAAAACTCCCTAAATGTGCAATTTTTAGAGGCTAGGAAATTGGCCTACCTCAACAAGAAATGCTCTTATGTTATATATGGCCACACTGGTTATTTTAAACTGAATATAAGCGTTTACCTTATGGCTTTATTTATTACAAACATATTCTTTCAACATCATTACACATTGAGGCCCTTCTTTTAGGTAAAACGATCTATCTTAAATTTTCTTTCTTGAGTTTGGGACTATGTGTTATAACTTAGAAGGAAAAGAAGGGCAAGCACAAGCTTTAACATTAAAAAATGCGCACGTAGCGTGCGAAAAAAAAATTGTTTTTTTTTAATTCTAATTTCGTCGGAATTGATCAAAACTCCCTAAAATGTGCAATTTTTAGAGGAAATTGGCCTACCTCAACAAGAAATGCTCTTCTGTTATATATGGCCACATTGGTTTCTTTAAACTGAATATAAGCATTTTCCTTATTGCTTTATTTATTACAAAATTATTCTTTCAACATCATTACACATTGAGGCCCTTCTTTTAGGTAAAACGATCTATCTTAAATTTTCTTTATTGAGTTTGGGACTATGTGTTATAACTTAGAAGGCAAAAGAGAGCAAACAGAAGCTTTAACATTAAAAAATGCGCGCGAAGCGCGCGAAAAATTTTTGTTTTTTAAAATTCTAATTTCGTCTGAATTGATCAAAACTCCCTAAAATGTGCAATTTAAAAAAAAAAATATGTTAACAAGGTTAAAAAATGTCTCACCAAATTTATGCAAAATCATTTATAATATTTACTGGAGTATCATTATCATTTTTTTGTTTTTAGATTAGATGAGAGGCACCAGAGGAAGAACCATAAGTCGAACAAGACTAACTTTATGATATCATCATTAATGCACTTTATTCATTTCATTTCAAGTATACCTAAAACACTTTTGAGAATATGTCATTTAATGGATTATTGTTGCTGTCTGCAGGATTAAAGTGTTAAGGATTATAACTTCTTCGCAGACTATGATTTTAAATTAATTTTAAGATTGCATTTTAAGGACTAGTATTTTGTTATGTATACTGTTGGCACTATTTGTAACCTGAAATCTTATAGAGATAGACCCGCTAATCCTTTGCGAGATGAACGTTAAGTTAACGTCTAAATTAAAGATGTGATCTGGTTGTTGTCCCAGAAACAACTTCATGTATTATTATAAGACAATTCATTATTATTGGAATTTTAAGGATAATATATACTATAATTAGTTTCAATATTACTAACAGGTTTAATGCAGTTTACTTGAAGCGTAATTAGAGTCAATTGTGGGCTAGTTTTGGCCTGGGGGCGGTGCGAAAATTGAAAATGCAGAACAAAATCCTTACCGTAAAGGAAAATCCCTAATAAATGTGGGGAATGATTGGGGACACGAAAGTGAAGTGGAGGTGAGGGGTCAATGATTAGGTCGATGATTAGCTCGCAAAAATAAGGTGATTTCTTAAGTATTTGACCATGATTTTTCGGGAAGCCACTGTGGTGGTGGAAAAGATTTTTTTTTTCATTTTTTTATACGCCACTGACTAAGACTATGTTATGTAATTACAGATTATGATTGGTTAATGTTAATAGGCCTAATTTAAATATTTGCTATTTAAAATATTATCATGGTAGGCCTATTGGTGGTTCTCAACATTTGGTTCTGTGCCTGGAGCTGGAAAACATCTGCATAGGTTTCTTTATTTCATTATTGTTGCCTTCATGAATGTTTAGTTTAAAGCGTTATAGAACATTGCTTGTATTCTATGCTATAAAAAATGTTATTATTGATTGATTGATAATTGATTGAATGATTGATTATAAGTGTAATGTAAGAATTAGTCCCAGATTTTTAACGAATAAATAAGTTACAACACTTAGGCCTTGAAATCATGAGATACTTTAATATGAGTTGTTGATGATGGTACATTTTGCATAGTACTACTGCGCGAATATGCATGATGACATTTTGTTTAACGGAAACTTTTCGTTTTTGTTATTAAAATATTACTGTGACACTTTTACCATGTCTCCGCGGTTTTCCGTCGTCTGCATAAATTTTCGGTTAAAACATTAAATAACGGAACAGTTTGTATTATATAGGCCTACTTAGGCAGAGCATTTAAAAAAAAGAGTCATTATTATAATAGGTATGGCGATTTTGTTTCATTAAGTGTACATACAGAACTGAAATATTCTTTTCCAATGAGAACCATATATAATTGCGGATTTTCACTACTGACCGTAACTCACTGAATATCTGCGTGCATACCGAACTATATGCAGACCATACGGTGGCGAATCTACTATTTTCTTTTGTAGGCCTACTTGAGGAAAACTTCAATGAAAATATTGAAATTATTTAATTCTTTATGTATATTCTGTGTATCCCCAGCTCTGGAAAACAAATTTCATTTACAGTACTTGTATGCTTGACAGTAAATTTGGCAATATAGAATCTTGAATGTTGAATTACAAGGTAGGGTCGAAGAGCTTTTGTTAGGGTTAGGCCTATGCAGTGACGCATTAACCTACAAACTGAGCTGAGAGATAAAATAGCACATTCTATATTAAAAAATAAGAGATACTATAAAAAAAATGATAAAGTACTCTGAATCACTTTTGATTTACTGTATACAAACTTAGTATTAAACATTGTATGATATGGTATAAACTTATATATGAATAAGAATATCTTTGCTATTCGCTTCAAATAGAGGGCGCTTTATATATAATTTACTATATTAGGCGTCGCAATGCACACGAGGAGCCTTTTTGGTTTCGTCGGTGAACTGGGAAGGTGGGATTTGATTGTGGTCGTTTATAAGTTTTTTTGTAGCCATTTTAGACTACAATATTTACATAATACTAATACGCTTAATTTCATGTAATAATTAATTGGAAGTTGGAAGCCGATTTGAATAATAGAGCTACATTTTTCATTGTAAACACGCGGGCCTACCATAGTACTAGGCCTAGTAGGTGATAAGTTAGTTTTCCATCTCTCTAGGCGCTAGGCCTCCTAGTAGTAGTCTAGTTTCTTATCTTAGTTTTGGGCCTCCTAGAGACCTTACCACGTGTCAATTCATAATAATTTATGTGGTGAATGAATGATCCATGTTGAATGCTGATACCTCCTTGGTTTAGCTTAGACCATGCTTATACTAGGCCTTGTTAAAGGATTTGTAGCATTAATTAAGCAAGTAATGCCACATGACAATTTATAACGTTAATTCAATCATTGAGCTGGCTGCAGTGTTTTCCAAACGAAACGAAGGGACCAAACTACTACACAATCCTTGCTTGATTTAAAGGAACTAGTACTTAGCTTAGCCTTAGGCCTAGTCTCGGGGAGCTCACTTGCATACCAACCAAACGGGAGTGCCGCAGCCACTTCAAGACATGAGACACTTGCGCTACCTATTTTACTGAAAATTCTTATTATGGTCTTTAACAGGGACTTAAAACTATCATTTACCAAAATCGAACTGTGCTGTAATAGACGGGAAAAGGGCCACTCAGTAGTGGCAGAGGGCACAATATTAATTTGTTCCCGATGGCTGTCACACCCACATTGATGTGCAGAGTTCAAAACCACACTCTTGTAACAAATGTATATCATATAAAAAAAAATGGATTTAATCCTTTCCTTCACAAGCCGTCGGTTACTTTGAAATAATAAACTCCATGGACTTTTTTTAAAGTTAATAGCTATTAACAATTGATTTGCATATATAACTTCCAATCTTGAACCAGTACACTAGTTCTGAATAAAAAAAACCAAATCAATATCTGCACTCTTGATTTTAGACTTGAATCTTGATATGTCTATATATATCCTTATACATTGTAGTTTCTAGTACCCCTTTTACACTGCAAACAATATTCTGGACATAACACTGGATTTTCCAATACCCGGGTTAAAATTTTCAGAGTTAGTGGTCAGTGTAAACGTCAAAAAGTCAGTCTCGGGTTGCCAAACATTTCGGGATAGACGTACCGGATGCATCCAACATAGGACAACCTGGGTGCATTCCGGAGTTGCCAGTGTAAACAGCACCAAATTTTATTCCAGGATTAGGCCTTACCTGGTGCATACCCAGCTGTGGTCAGGTAGTCTTAAACTTTGCTGAAAACGGGCTAGGTCTAGACACTATACAAAGTAAACCCTCTACGCCCCGGTATAGACTCGACATCAAAACTGCCGATTTAATTCGCATAATTTAAAAACAAACCTGCAGCTACATTGCTTCAATATTGACAATAATTGTGGCTTCGTGACTTAAACATTTATAAATACGAGGACTTTTACAGCTAACCTGAGTGCCACACCCTTTCACTTTGGTCCACACCCTTTTTTTTTTGAGTGTAGTTGCAAGTGAATGCTTTCTGCTATACTAGCTATTGTTCTCATACAAATGAGTTTCACAATTTAGCATACAAGCCTACACCTGTACTCTTTGGCATATAAAAGTACATAGGTAATCACTGTAAGACTTTACACAGTAATCATGATAATAATAATACTAATAGTCACCATAATAATAATAGTAATAATCACCCATAACAATGATAAAAAGCAATCATCCAATCTGTCCTGACAATAGGATGGAAAAGTTAGGCTTAGCAAGTGACTTTTTGGCTTAGCACCCAGTTTAGCTTGAAATTTCCGCTAAAATCCTACGGAAAATATAGTCCATAAATGTGGAATCTCCCCGTATAGAAATATTTAAGAGTGAGCCCCTCGGGAGCCTAGTAAACAGTAGACATAAAAATTAAGTGACTAACATACCATCCCAATTACCACAACACCATGATGATGAACCCGAATGCCCCCGTCTGACAGATGGTGATGCGAAAATTCGGTTGATATACCTCATACTGAGATTGTTGTGGAATTGATTTGCCATATTTATTCAAATCCAGGGCGTTTATTTCAAGTTTTTCCAAGTTTGAAAAAATGTCTTCAGATTTCCGTAGTAAATAATTGCCCTAGCACCTAATAATTTGCGTTTAGTGCAAGGTATGGGGTTTACTGGACAGGATGCAAGATTTATGGGTTACCTTTCAGATGGGGTCAGAAACTTGTTGACATTGTGAATGCTAGATATGATCGTGAAATGCGTAAACAGAATTTGGCGATCTAACAACTAGAAAGAACACGATAGAAAGGGCCAAGAAACATACAGATGTAAGAGTTAAATAATATTTTGTTAAGTGAAAGAATGCCAGCGAATAAAATAATTTGGTTTTTACCTCGAAGCGTAAATTCAGCTAGGCTCTAGCGTGGTAGACCATGATGCTGCACTGTGGATTTGTTCTAGGCCTGGCTGCCCTCAGCCTATTGGCCTCAATGGCAGGGAATAGCTAGGCCTAGGTATTGGAAACGGACACCCGATCTAGTTTACAAATTTTTCAATTTACGAACGCCCTTTGGTAGCAAAGACTACTTAAAGTCAGACTCGGAGGGAAACAAATTTTTGATATGTTGTAGCACTGATTTTTCTTAGACGGAAAAAAGTTGTCTGACGAGAAACTGGGGAACGTTGAATTAGATAGAGATTTTTGAATATTTAAAAACTGGGGGAAAATTTGTAAAAAAGGCAGTTACTTTAAATTCACAAAATGTGTTATTGTGTGATCATAGACTTGCTGATCCCAACCAGGTTAGGAAAATGTAATTTTACTGGAGTAGAACAATAAATAAAATGCATCAAGGATGATGTTGCTTCCTTCCATTATGTGTATATTTACAGGTGACATTTATTCGAGGGAAAATAAACACCTCAGGGTGCTTATTCAATGGAGGTGTCTATTGCAAATGGGGCTCTAGAGGGGCATTTATTCAAATCAGTTATTTAATATGGGACAAATGCAGAATTTTTAAAGTAGTCAAAAATGGCCATAAGCTTGCATACATTTTAAAATAATTTACCAGCTGCCACATTTTGATATTAGTTTACACCATTATCCATTTTTATTCACAGAACTGAGATGGACAGGTGTTGTTAATGTGTGGTATGTTTCTTTTATGAACATTTTGTATTGGTTCGAAGAAATATTTTAAATATATTTTTTTTCTTATATTTCAAGCTTGTACATCATTTAACCATGAATAAGTCTTAATAATGTTTGTCTTTGTTGTTGGCAATGATGTTTCCATAATCCCAGCTCGCTATGAATCCACATAATGGATGTTGAAGAAGGCGTGTTTCCAACACAGTCATACTGAGTTGACCACAAAGCAAACTCTTACCCCTTGTTACCCAAATTGACGAAAATAGTGTTTTATTGCCTTGTTATATGAAATTTTAAATTGCTTTAAATTATAGGAAGACGAATATAAACAATTGAATTATCTGAGGCTTATTATTTGTTTATATTCAGAAAAAACCGCCCCTGCCCCTGAATTTCTGAGGGTGTGATGCAAAATAAGTATATTTTTTTTGGCCTTAGTGCAACAATAAAATTTCTTGGGTCTAAAAATTGCTGTTTATTTTCAATTTACTGTGTATCAAAATTAAGAATTGGTTGAAATATTTTAACAATAACCACTGTCTAGGTAATTTTTGTGTAATTATTTTGGTGTAGAAAGTGTTGAGTATTTATTGTAAGTTTCATTTCCTTAATAGATGTTGAAAATATTGATGTGGAATCTGCTATGACTCAATGCAAATTCAAGAAATGCTACATGGAATTTACAAATGGGCAAGTTTTGTTTTCGTTTCATGTCTTTAACAGGCCTAGAAAAAAGTTTGCCTCAGACCATGAAAGTTGTCTAGATGAAAAGCCTTCAGCACCAAATGTTATCCCTCAATTTGCCCCGGGATATCCATGATGCCTCTGACCTCCGGTTGCGTGGTCACACTTTTTCCAGCCCTACTTAACAAATTGAAAAACTACATGAATTGCTTAATTTTCATATTTAGGTAAAAAAAAAGAAGTAAAAATTTTTTAAAAATTATTCGATCCATTGGATTGAGCTATTAGTATTACAGATTGTAAATAAATTTTTAAGGTTTTCTGATTTTTTAAAGTATCATTACAAAACATTATCATCTCTTGATGTTAGACAATGTGTTGACATTGTGACAATGTGTACTGGAACTGGGTAGAAGATTTGCTGTAGCTAGCAGTGATGTTTCCATAATCCCAGCTCGCTTTGAGTCCTATATGGACGTTGAAGAAGAGGTGTTTCCAACACAGTCATACTGAGCCATGCTACAGCAAATTATTCTTCATCTCTTGTCTTGTTCCTAATATGCAGAAAAATTTATAATTAAATTTGTATTAATCTCCACAGAAATGTTGATAGCTGAGAATTGGAGGTAAGCATCAGTTTTTGTTAAAGTAGTGTTTCGCTCTGTTTGCTTTTACTGTAGGTTAAATTAGAACCCCACTGACTGGGTGTATGGCATTTATTTGTAGACCAGTTACAATGTCAGAAAAGAGATTAGATGATGATGATGTAATACGACAAGCATATGTCTGATAATTTTGATGCACAAATTATATTCACTGAAATCTCTTATCTGATATATTTTTGTCATTTATGTTAAGGACAAAAATTGGCCAACTAGCCCAAAATGTTTTTGTTTTTTTTAATTAGTCTGAAAAACTCACACATTTCATGTTTCAATTTTGTACTGTCCTGACATAAGATAAAAAAAAAATTTGGAATTCAATATTTGAATTGCCAAATTTGGATATTTAAGCAAGTTATTAAATAAAGAATTTAAACAAGAAATTATCCCCGCCAAATAGTAATAGATGATTTAGTTTTAATTGTTTATTACCATCTTTTCCATGACAATTTTTATCACATGTGTATGACCGGGGTAGTAATGTGAAGCGCTTAGAGGCATTGTGCATGATGCGCTATAGAGCGACATATTATTATTTAAAAATTAAATAAGAAAAAAATTGTTGAATAATAGTTGTATTGTTATGCATACACTAGAATAATGGGATAGAAGATTGAAAACTAAGGTACCTATCACCTGTAGTATGCGGAGTATAGCAGTTTACATTTTTCGTTTGCGGTTTCATTGTAAGTAATTTTGAATATATTTAAATCGCTAAAATCCATAGAAAGGTTCATTGAAAGTACACATATTGACTAAATATTGACAAAATAAATGAAATGAAACGATTTAAGACATAAATAGTGGTTTCACAAAAATGTTGCATTTTTTGTACAAAATTTTAAATAGGTTGACTGTAGACAAAACCTTTGGTCATCCCTTAAAACTTTTGATGATGATCTCTATTGACAAGCATATATCTGAGTTACCAAAAACAAGATGTTAATACAGATTCTGAAAAACTAAAAATTGTCTCTTTAAAATTGTAGCTTGTTTTAAATTGAAAACTATGTTGTCAACAATTTTTTTTTTGTATTTCAGCATTTTTGATGCACACAAAGTAGATTGAATTGGCAGAACATTAGTGATGAGTTGGCAGAAGAGCAATTCTAGTAAGTTAAATATAAGAATGGGCCGGTTATGACATCTTCGAATAATTTCACAACCACCCATGATACACAAAGTGTGTACTGTCCACACTCCAATTCAAGACCACCTTTGGCGCCTCAAAATTTGGGTTGGTTTGGAGCTTCAGTCTCCAATTAAGCCATTTTCTGATAGAGGCTTTGGCAATATTGTGGTAATACTACTGTTACACCTTCTGGCATAAACCATTCGTACCAACCAAATATTGCCGTAATATAACACCTTTCTGTATGAATGGTATGCATGCATTGGTAAATCTTCATCTTCATCACTGACTGAGGGCGTCTTTTATTAATTCTAGAAAATTGTGCTAAGGCCTAAATAAGATTATAACGGTAAGACTAGACTTGATAGTTAATTTTCTTGACGTCGTTCTACCCATGTGCAGTACATAATTTATTGCACCTATATGCTGCAACAAGTAAATTTATGTAGGCCTATATACTAAGGAAGAAAACGGGCTTCTTATTTTGGAGATTTTGGCTAGTGGAGGACATAATTATAATTTTTTTAAAATGTGATTTAAAAATGAAATTTCCATTTTTCGTTGCGCTGAGGGTGCGTTTTGTTTTTATTCAAAATCATTATTGGCGGTCGGACAGGTCGCTAAACAATCCGACGAACTCTCGGGCAAGGATTAATATTTTGCTGAATGTGACCTGCTTTTTTTTCAGACGCGCAGGAACGCATTGTAACCGTAATGTTGCGATTGAAGTTGGCCCTAACTATTCACATAATAGGCAATGCCGGGAAGGTTCCTGTAATATTGCAGTAATTTAGCTCTGTATAAAAGTGGCTGTAGGTTAGCTTATATGTTAATCTTATTCATTTGGTACTTCAAAAAATGATCTATAGTGGTCTTGGAATTGGAGGGTGCACTGCGGTTATTTTGATCTATGGTGGTGATGAGAAAATGTCTCGTTCGTATGATAACATGATTACTCCCTATAGCTTCTGAACCATAGATCTTGTTTGCATTTTAATGTCTGTTGCCCTTAAAAAGTCATCTCATAGCTTGAAAAAAAATAATTACTTTGAAAAAGATTCATGTTAAAATGAATGTATTGGTTTTCAGGATTGTCCGTGTGTTGGTGGAGGTACTTGTAGAAAATGCCATATCACAAGGTAGGCTGATTTATTTTATTTTTGAGTTTAAATACAGTTGATAAAAGTATGAATACAGATTTTCCTAGTTTAGCATGCACTGCACAAGATGAGATGATGAACAAAATTACAGACCTGTTCTGAAAATAATTGAGGAATTGTTTGTTCTGATTCATCGTACACACATCCTTTCACTTGTTCTATACCTCCTTGCTTACACAATACTTTACATCCTATCTGAACATTTTTTTTTATAATTTACTCAACTCAATGCTGGTTAATATTTACACAGGTAACAGATAATTGCATAAATTAAAAGTAAATACAAATGCAAAAATACTGTAAAGACTGAAAATTGGCTGTTTATACTTGACCACATGAGTGATTATTCCCCCGTTTTACTGAAGGTCGTTAAACAATTTACTTTTGTTCTTTTTACAGCTTCTTGGTTTGGTGCGTCTGAAATTGTACTCAAGGTGATTATTTAGTCTGTTGCTTCATACTTGTTTGTAATAAACCATGATGAACATAACCGCCCCAGGCTGAATGCGTTGATGGATACGGTATTTCTGAGACAATAAATTGGATGATCTTTAATCTTAATTTTTAAAATATTTTACTAACTTTACATTTTAATTTGATTTTTTTTCAGGCAGTGAATGATAGTTGAAAGTATGTGCTGTTCAGAAAAGATGCTGCTGTAGTGGATTATAGGTATGTGGTGTTTGTGGATATTTTTTTTTTCGGTTTAGTGTATTTTGTTTCTGAATAATATTTAGTCTGTCCTGTATAGATACCATACCTGTATGTATAGTGTACTTAAAGTATACTATACTTTCTTTAGAAGCCGGTCTCTTTATGAGGCGTAAAGATTGGAGCTGTTTTATTATTTTATTAAGGCCAGTTGAAGCCCTGTGCAGTAACATTTTGCATCCAGGACCCTGGGATTGGCAAGCATCTTAACTACACCAAGCTATTCAGCTTTACTCCTGTAGGGTACATAAATATTTCAAACTGTAAAGCAATTTGTCCGAAGGCAAACAAGATTTATACTATCATTCCTTTTCCTTTCAAAGGCAAAGATCTTGCTGCCATGTTATACATACATAGACATATTCAGCAATACCATACATGGTGACTGCCGTTTGCATTGATGAGGTCATATCGCCCCAGTCTGATTACCATGACTGAGTGATTCTTCTGAGAAATGCCAGTCATCTAATTTGGTTAAAAGTATAATTTAAAAATTTGAATGTTATAATTAACACATGATTCGTTCAGGGGATTTTACTAGTAAGTTATTTTCATTTTTGTTTGTTTTCCAGATTTTGAACTTCAATTACGAGACGTAAAGTTGATAGTAGTATTGCTCTGTCTGGTGAAAATCTGAACATTCTCTAGTACAAAACCTAGCAAGTCTTTGCAAGCATTTAGTAGTTGCTTACTCAATCTGATGGTTGTCTATCTATCTGCATTAAAACTTGCTGTGCAATACTTATTTGATATACATCTTTCAATATTCTGTGCTGTCTTTATTTTATTTATATTTTTTTCACTGTAATGCAAAGCTTTATCTGTTTTTAATTGCATTGTTCAGACAAGACCAAGTAATTATGTAATTGAATGTTCAAATGGTGCCTTCCCTTTAATGACAAATCTGAACATCTGTAAAATTGATAACCCTTTAAAAAGTAATTAATTAAATGCATTGATAACTGATACAGTATTGTATATAAATATATGCTTGCTGTATTTTAATAATTATGCTAGTTGGCTGGAATACATTTGTTTATGGTGTACTTCATTAAATATGTGAAAATGTTATTACAATTGTCGTTTTGCTCTGTATGCCTACAGTGTGGGGTAATGAAGTCCAGGACATCCGTGCTTTATTCTAATAACAGGATAACCAAAACGATGCAATACTTTAACAATACATGCAGATGTACCATTAACTACGGATCCAATTTTAGTACTATATTCACTATAATTACTGTTATTAGTGGTACCTCCAGAAAGGTCCCGACTTGGTGACTGAGCCAAGGTACCGCCTATAGACTTCATCATGGCATCGGAATAAAGTACCTGGTGGGGTTCGTTGGTAGAGATTTTATGGTTTACAGATAATGGCAATTTTTACTTTTAGTTTTTTAGGCAGACTGCATCGTCAGAACTAACTGCGTGATTGGATTTGGGTAGCATCAACTTGATAAGACCCACATTCCCATTGAAAATCATGCTCAACAGTGGTGGATTCAAAGGGCCCAGCCAGCACGAGCCCCCTTTAAATTTTTAAAATAAAAAAAAAACCATGGTGGGGTGAGGTGGTATAGACCATTATGTGAAAGTAAAAAGTAGGCCCACGCCAAGCCAACACGTCTGCCACAATCGGTGTCATTTCTGGACATCAGAGGTTTCTATTTAAAAAAATCTTATTATGGAAGGTAAATACGCTCTCACTTTCCCCATCTCGCGCCTACTAGCCCAAGTCCTCTTGTCGGACAGCTCAGACACCAGAAAATGTATCCTAGAGCCGCCACTGCTTGCCGATTGAGTTGCAGACGAATTAGGGTGCATTGCTAGCTGCCCGGACGTAATCGGGAAGGCACCCGGATTCGTCTGCAACACTATCTACAAAGTTGAACCAGGTTCAACCTTCCCGACAACTCAGTGAATATCGCCGATAGGGTGAGCAATGTTATGGAACAATCATCGATCGATTCCTGAACCTATTTGATGCCTAGTGTGCATTCAGTACTAAAATAAAAAAAAGCGAGTAGCACTAATTTCAATAAAGGGCTTATGCATTGAAATTTTAATATTTAGTGGCAAAACGGGGGACGTTCCTCCTACTAGATGCACACCCCTGGGAATTTTACCAATGACAACATAGTTCCCCTACTTTTTGGCCGAAAATATATGATGTCTAGTCTATGCAGATTTTGTATGATCGACTCCACCGCAATTCATATTCCTATTCATCTTGGGTCTACTAGTTGGCCCTCCTTTCCTCCCCCTCCCCCACTTTGAAAAACCTTCCACCGACTCTGAGGAGTATATACTGTATATTTGAAGATAAATAATTCAAGGTAAAAATATAATAACGAAAATTGATTACTAGTATTAAAGAGGCAGCACTCCGAGATGTAATTTATTCATCATAAGTTAATGTTATTATCACGCATCATTATAACGTCATACATCATCAGTCTAATCTGTGCATGTTTAGTGTGTAATATTAACAGAGGTACGGTTTATGTAAAAACTACCTGTTCACCGGTGGAACACAAATTAAATAATGCCTAAATTTCAGTTCAGTGTAAGTAGCCAGGGGCGGATGGGGTGGATCACCCCCGCTTTTGAAAGGTAAAAAAAGAAACAAAAAATAAAGGAAGAAAATGCAAAATTACCAATCGTCTCGCATCGTGCGCGACGGTCCCGCATTTCAAAGTGATTTTGAATGAAACACGCATTTTGCAGAAACACAAGCGTGATCATAAATTTGTCACGCATTTAATAAGTCTATGCGTGATAACGAATTACAGTATCACGAATTCAGGGGAAAATGTATTTAAAATTAGACGGAATGGGTTTTATTAAAAATATAAAAACGGCCATGCAGTAGTTTATCATAGAGAGCTTTAGTTATCTCGTTCGAAAATCAATTCATCCAGAAAAATCTTTCCCGACCAAAACAAACCACACACCCAACCACGCACCTGTAGAATGTAGTAGTTGCGTGCAGTCTTCAGTGCGCGTTCATTTTCACAACCAAGTACAGTAACTGGAACCAGCTAATTAAGGTATAATATATTGAGGATTTTTAACTAGCTGAGCGTGATGGGGAGACAATGCATAGCCACATTTTCAAACAGACAATATCAGGGTCGACCTTTATGCGTAAATTCAAACAATGTGGACACATTTTATGCAAAAACTATGAAAAATCTGGACCCATTTTCTTAAATTTTGCCCACTTTAGGCTAAATAGGCCTATAAGAATCTGGACCCAAGTTTCAAAAGTGGACCCTTTTTATGCATAAAATATTTCATTATTTGGACCCATTTTTAAAAATGTGGACCCATTCTTTGTGGAGCCATTAGAAAATGTGTGTGGCACTGTCCCAACAGAGCTGCGACGGCATTGGAGACAAGTCTCTATTCCCCCACCCCACGCATCCCTTCAGGATACGCCACACCGGCCTCTGGGCTTATAATTGGTTTATCCTGGAAATGATCACATTTAGGCCTTTATTTGTTTTTTTTTTTATGCCTATACGCATTTATTTTTCTTTTTCAATTTTTATATAATTTGTATGTTCAGGATTCCGAATAACCGTCATCCTGTGTTTGGTTTTTAGGGCGGATTACAATTTTCACCACTGACCAATTCATCGGTAGGCCTATAACCAGAAATCTGTAGGCCTATATTTTAAGCATCTTTGAAGAGGCCGGTAGCTTTGGCTAAATACAAAACTCATGATTATGAACAATTTATACCATTATTTTTCTCTTTAACGTTGATAAAGATAGCAGGAGCTATTAAAGTATCCGTTTTGTTTGGTTATATTTGGATAAATTATTTATTATTCATTTATCTATTGTTGATAATTATTATTTATTTAAATTTATTATATTTATTTAAAATCTATCTTCAATATTGTATGGTATCGTCTTCTCATTTTCTGGGAAATTGTTATTTTTGGTATAGCCCCCTCATCGTTGTAATTTAACGGTAGTCTATTTCGCCTTCTGCGTTCGCTTTTTGTCGAATGTGAAAATTACAGAATATTATTCATTTATTTACGCTTCTGCTCCCAGATTACTATTCCAACGTACCAGCAGGCATATAAGGTATGTCAATTGTGTTAGATAGTATATTTATTATTAATTTTAAACTAAAATGAAATACATCCACATCGTGCGAGGTGTCGTTGTTGGTAAAATGTCTCAACATGGCGTCGATTTCAACGACTTCCCAGTGTCTGGTACATCACCAATTCTTTTAGCCTCGTGTACAGGCAGCGTGGCTTTTTCACCCTACAGAGTACATGATGTGCAACAACGACGTAGACGTCAAGACTAATCCCTCAGAGTACTAGATACAGTATATATTGCGATCAAACTTTAGGCGCGATTTGCCCTATTTATTAATGTTATGCTATATTATTACTTTGGGCTGGCTTACAAACATCGAAGTACATAAGGCCTAGTAGCGTTATGCTGAAATAAATTGCCAATCTCTAGCCTATGATGCGAGCCTGTAGGCTATATGACTATGTATTGTTGTGTTCAAACTTAACCAGGCTTAGGGCCTACCTAGGCCTGTTTCTGTCACTGTGTGAAGAGAGCCATGTTCGTGCGTGCTGCTTGTAAAATACGCCTAGGTTAGCCTAGAGAGGCAAGTAATTAAAACTAGCCTAGGCCGAACGAAGCCGTGGTCGTAAGGCGAGACTTTTTTATACCTTATTAAACCGCCAGCACGAAAAAATAGAAATTTCAGAGAAAAATAAAAGTTTTACAAATTTTTATTATGCCCGCTGCTGCCTTGAAATTTCCAAAAATAAGATAGTATGTATATTTTCTTAAACCGAAAGGTCCACTGATTAATCTCAGATAAGAAAGTATAATACATACTCCAAGTATTGAAATACACGCCATCGTGTTGGTATTCAATATTTCGACATTAATTATGTCATCATCGCAATACTTGGAGTATGTATTATACTTTTGTATATTTTCTTCCTACTATTAAAAGCATTTAACCATGCCGTAACTATACGTAACACCGTTTACAATACATTCACCAATAAAAATTCACTTTCATTTTCTCCTCCCTCTGGATGTTTAGAACTATTTGCTAAATAACAGGGGTCCCGGCCCAAGTCTCGCGGAAGTCTCCTGGAACTCGGGACGGCTTCCCACACTCCTGCAAGCAAGCAAGAATCTAACCCATATCCCGCAAATTCATAATGTGCACGTTTTCACTGCTTTATCAATTGTCTCACAGAAGTTATTGTGAATGTGTATCACAATGTGCAGCAAAATAAAACAAAATGTTACAAAAGCTCATTACCAGATTAGTGGCTGATTCAAGGGGAAAAGCCCTCTTTCCCAATTTTTCAAAATTTAAAAAACGGAGAGAAAAACATAATCATATTCAAATTTTAGTCTGAGAGTGCCATTTCCGACCATCTAGAGGTGCCATACTCATAAATTTTCTTACTTCGCCCAGCCAGGGTGGGGCTGAAGTGGTATAGACTGTGCATCTGTGGAAGGCCCTCCGTGTGCTCCCCCATTGCAAAATTCTAGGATCCGTCACTGAAAATTTTTTGGACAAGTGTGGCGCTGAGGGCATCTGAGGTCACTGACGAGGGGGGCCGATTTCCCCAACTGGAGAGCAAAGTGGACTTATTTAATTGATTTTAGAGTCTGCTAATATGTAGAAAATACAGTACTTAATTTTTTCTGTTGGGGAGAAGCTTTCCCCGAATGGCCTCTCACTTCCCCCTACAGTTAAATATCAATAACGTTTTATATAAGATATTTATAATAAATTAATGAATGTCAGTCTGCACAAAATATACAGTTCTTTAAATGGGTCTATGATTATGATTACAAGGTAGAAATATGAAACGCTTTTGAATTTTAAGCAGTGATTGACGCCCTTCACGTACAGTATCGTAGATTTCTTTTCAAAGGAAGTATGGGTCCAAATAAAGAAGAAGTTGTTCAGAATGTCACTGGCTTTCACTTACTGTATCATCAAGACATACAGTAATCCTATAATTAACAAATTACAAAATGTTTTACCATCTTTTTACTAGATTGAAAAGAATGGAAGAGCCTGAGAAACAAGAAATAATGGAATGTGAAGTTATAGCACCTGCAGCAGGTGGAATGGAGGTTCTAACATTAGATGGCGCTATAGCAGAGTTGGTGGCATCCACCAGCAATATTCAGCAGTCATCAGTTGAAGAGTCCCAAGGTGTCATGCAAACTGACAATACTGGCAAAGACGTGGATGCTGAGTTAAAAAGTAAAGAAGAACCACCAGTAGAAATGGATGGGACAGTTGTGCTCTCAACAGAGATCCTGTTTAGATGCAAACTCTGCAACTTTCATGGCTCCTCCAAGATGGAGATTGCTGACCACTTCATATCTGACCACACAGCCATGGAGATGGTAGAATCCTCAACCAAACGGGAAGATACGGTTAAAGAGAATGCTGTTGAGGAGGAGGATGGTGGCGCCAAACCAGTCCGTAAAAGTAATCGGAGTAATGCTGGAGTCAACAGAGCTTCCAACAAATCACCAGTTTTACCGTCACGGAGAATAAATCGTAAAAAAAAGAAGACCGAAGATGAAGATCTGGATGTGGATGTCTCTGAAACGATGTACAAACATGGAATCAAAACATTAGATGAATGGGAAGCCAACTGGAGAAAGAAAAACATCATAACGGAAGTGCACTGTCCAATTGATTGGTGCACCGGCATGTTACCAGTAGAAGAAGTGGAAATGCACAGTAAATGCCATATTGAGAAGCAGAAAGGATTCCAGTGTTCAGAGTGCAGTTTTAATCATAAGTATTGGCGCGATATGCGTCGTCATCTGTACAGTAAACATTTCAAAGAAAAAAGGTTATGGCGGTGTGATCAGACAAAATGTTTACTGGCATTTGTGTCCCTTGGTGAACTGCGTAAGCACATGAAACAGAAACATGTGTTTACCAACCAGGATGATGTTGGTGATGTTGATCAAGATGACAATCCAGATGATGATGCAATACCATCCAAAAAGAAACGACGTAACTATTATCCCCGCTTTCAGGCCTGCTCGATGTGTAATATCAAGTGTAAGGCCAAAGAAGAGACAGCATTGCATGAAGACTGTCACAGCACTCCAGATAAAGATATTTTGGTATGCACAGAATGTGATGTTGTATTTCACACTGACCAAATCAATGAGCTAAAAGACCATGTGAAAGCTGAACACAAACGAATGACTCATGCACATCGCTGCCCTGTATGTCATTTCTCAACTGATCGCCTTTTTGATCTCAAAAAACACATGTGGACACATTCAGGACAGAAAAACTTTGTATGTGACAAATGTGGTGCTCGAGCATCCACTGCATATAATTTGCGTGTGCATCATAGCAGAATACATGCGACTGATGATGATAAGAAGATCTCGTGTGCACTCTGTGATTTTCGTTGTGCTCATCCAGCTGTGCTGAAGGATCATCTTCGTCAGGTTCATCAACTTCTTGCCAGTGGAAAGTGCTACCAACGGATAACACCAATGAAAACGTACAAGTGCTCCGTTTGTGATTATGTTGGTAAGAAGGAGAGCAGTTTGAGATATCACATGAGAATTCATGCCGAGAATAGACAGTTTAAATGTATGCTATGCTCATATGCTAGCAAGACCAAGAACAATCTGATCCTACATATGCGGACACATAATGGAATGAGCCCTCTCAAGTGCCCAGAGTGTGACTTTAGAGGTAATAATTCTCTCGTGTCAGGCTATGCTAATTAGATGCTGTACAGTAGAAACCTTCAACAATAATATTTATAAGTAAATGCATTTCTGAAAAAATACCTATTACTGTGTATGTACTTGCATATAAGATGAAGCTTAAAATAGCACATTACGATCAGAAAACATGTTGTCGTCTTATACATGCGACATACAAGTATTAGATTTTTGAAATCATGTTCATCTTATGTGCGGATCGTCCGTAATATGTGAATTTACAAATGAACATACTGAATTTTAGTATGAATGAACGCAATTTTAATTACTGGTAAAGATTTTGATTAATATTTAAAAGCCCATATGTGGCAAGACAAGCCAAACCAGTCACTCGTCGCAAATCATGTTTCAGAGAAAATGGCCAAACATGCTGGAATGTCAAATTTTTAAAAATCTATTTTATTGCACTAAACTAATCTACATATCTATACATCATTCTATGCTGTTATTTTCCCCATTTTCAATGTTAAAACAACACTTTTTAAGGATTTGATAATGGTTTCTGCATGAGAAATGCCTGAAATCATAAACTTTGAAGGCTGATTTCTCATATATTCTTCTTTAAACAGCTGTATGTTTAAACGCTTGTAACTTCATGAGGAAATGTCCGATTTGAATGATTTTTTACCATTTTATAGCTATTATTTTACTCTCTAAAACTGTATTAATAACTCAAAATCGATTTTTGCGACGAGTGACTGGCTTGGCTTGTCTTTGCCACATATGGTATTATTTTGAAGATTAGTCCTACATTTGGATCCATTTTAAGCTATCTAGATGCAGTATCAAGACCATAAAGAGCAGCAAAAGTATGAATTACAAAGTTTTAAAAGGGGGGGGGAGGGTGTCGTCTTTTCACGCAGGACATACAAAAATCGTCTAAAAGCCTCAAACTTGGGAGTCGTCTTATACGTGGGTCATCTTATACATTAAGTTTTCATTAGAATATGGATTTAGTTGCGCATTCTTAACAGGGGCGGATCCAGAGATGTCCAAAGGGTGGGCCGGAAGAGGGACCAAAAGTGGGGCCGATTGAGATAACAATACCATAGGGGGTCCGGGGACATGCCCCCGCAAAATTTCTGTGTTCCAGACGCCCAAAAATAACCTGTAATGCCTTTTGGGCGATCATTGTTTTCTTTTTCTTTCTTTCTTTTTTTTTTTGACTTTCAAAAAAAAGTGGGGGTGCCCAGGTCCAGCCCAGGGCCAGCCCAAGCCCCCCTCTAAATCCGTCCCTGCTTAATCATTCACCTCGCAACCAAAACCAGCCTACTTTACGCCATACAGTAACTAAATACAGGGTAATTAAAAATTTTATTTAGGTCAACACATGTTTAATACTGGTGACATGTTTTTGGAAATTACTTGATTAAAGGAAACAGATGTTAGTAATGTTAGTTTTACTAATCATAATGGTAATAATTATGTATTTACTAATGTATTTTATATTTTGCAGGTGCAACAAATAAGATAATTCAGGAACACATGATGAGCAAACACACACGGGAAAGACCATATAAGTGCACTATATGTGGTTGGGACACATGCTATAGTGGCAATATGTGGAAGCACATGGATATGCACCGCAAAAAAATGGGTTTGAAATTACAGGGGGAACAGCTAGTTTTGGTTAGTGGTGGGAAGGATAATGGAGGTCTTGGCAAGGACGGATGCAACAAGATCATTGTAGCAAGATATGAATCACCGAAACTCAAGTTCAGAAAAAGAACTAGCACTGCAGGTACAACCTTCTTGATCCAGCAACTGGATGGCACTTTTATCCAGACATCAAATTCCGGTGATGCTCTGCAAGCTGGTAATGAAGTAGTGCAAGTAACTACTATGGAAGCAGGGCCATCACACAATCATGGAGTACAAGAGGTGGTCGAAATGACTGGACCATATAACACGGTTAACAATGTGGACAAGGCACCTGCAGATGGGAATGTCCCTAGTAATCCAGCTACATCCGAGGAATCTACGGTAGTTTTAGTTTCTGGTGTTGACTCCTCTGGGACTCCAACTGAGATGACATATGTTCCGAGCAGCACACACAGGGGTGCCATTGATGGAAGTACTGAGGGTAATGATGCAGGCAGTATTCGTTATGTCTCACAGATTCTTTCCCAAATGGCAGCACAGATTACACAGTCAAACAGTAACCCACAAGAAATTGGTTCATCACCCTACTTACCAGATGGTCAAGGCCCAACAGCTATTACTATTCAGTCAGCTGACCAGCTTGATTCCCAGCAACTTGGACAGGAGGGCACTACAATATTAGTTCAAAGTGAAAGCCAGCAGGTTGGTGAGGGTGGAATGGTGACCATGCAAATTCAAGGTGATGGCCAACAGTCCTACATGATACCAGTCAATTTCCAAGAAGGAGCTGAAGGTTCAGACCAACAGGAAGTGGCTTATGCCACCACCGTAAGAATTAACCAAGATGGAACACCTGAAGAAAACACTGTTCAAGAAGGAATTGTTACAGGTGATAACCAGACTACATACATGACAGTTCTGGAACAATCTACTGAGCCAGAACAAGTAACTAGTGACATTGGCCTTCATGATTCTTCTGGTCAGGAGATTCAGGCAACTTACATAGTTGAAATGGACGAAGCTGAAGCAGCCGAGTTTCATGCTGATGGAATGGCAACTGTTGGTAATACAGAAGATGGCCAGACAGCATACATATCAGTAGAGATCGATAACAACACATCAATTCAAGAAGAGATGCACCAAGAAGAGAAAGAAATGACTGAGCAATTAACTGAACAAATCACCGAAGATGGTGACCAATCCACATCATGAATATTTAAGTGATATGCACACCAAGTGTATCTCTATCCTTTTCTTATTTTATAATGTTGATAAAACAGCGACCCTTAGTTCAAAAAGAAAATTCCCAGTGCTTTTGAATCTGAGTGACTAAATAAGAGAAAATATGTACCTGCACTACTAGAGGCTTCTGTCCTTATTTTCAGTATGCTGCTTCCAGATAGATAGATGTCTGTCATGAGGATGTCAGTATTTATGAGCCCAGGTCTTCTTGGTCTACATTTTCTGTGTTTTAGTATCATGGATGCATGTAGAGTCCTCACTCCTAGAACAATTTGCAACAATCCTGGTTCTCTTCCTAATTCTAATAGTACCGGTAACTACAGAAATACAAGTCAGTGTTCTTTTGAATGGGATACCTTTAATAATGCTTCAATAGCATTAATCTTATCATGTTAAAAAATAAAAAAAAAGTTAAAAACATTTAAACAAATAATTTCCATGTGATGTCATGCAGCATTGTAACTTCCATAAGTTAGACTGCGAGAAAGAATTGTTACGGAGGAATTATTTTCAATCAGTGTATTCTAAGAACTAAAACATTTCCAAACTTTGTTGTACAACCATCAGCTAGCAAAGCTATCTCTCCTGTCTTTGTAAGCTTGCTAACTGGAAGCTGTTTAGTGATTGTTGATGCCAGACTGAGCAGATTTTCATCAAATATGATGCGATGAACACGCTCGGGCACCGATCCAGTTGGGGGCCACAGGGTACATGTCCCACATCCAGTTTTGGCATTAAATTTTAAGATTTCAATGCATATCTATGATTGTTATATTGAAATACGGACTACTCTCTTATCTATTCCTAAAATGTTGTGCACTCCCCTCCACCCCCGTCACTCCCACCCACCCGAGAAAAATTCTGGATCCGCGCCTGCACTTTGTCGCATTGCTATCTCTGTAGAATCGAGTTGGCCGACTATGGTTAGTTCAGTTACAGTAGTGTATAGTGTTTGGATTGTAATTGTGATTGCATAATATTAATAAACCTTGTGACAAACTGCCCAAGTTAATATTTAGGTACCATGCTCTCCTGTTGTTTTTCTATATACAGTATACACAAATTATATGTGTTAATTCATATTATAATTACTGTTCCATAACATTCCATTTACGTAGGCCCATAGATTATAAAATAGGGAATTTGTATTGTACTGTGTAATGCCCACTTTCATCGTTTTCTGTTTCTGCAGTGAGACCGAGATTTTCTGTTTAAAATTGTGTATTGCAGTATAGACACTGTGTCAGGAAATTTGCAGTATAATTGTACATTATGCCTATGAAATATATTTGATTTAATCAAATGTGAACATACAATTTTCAAATGAATTGTGTATTTAATCTTTAAAAAGTGAAATGCATATTTGCATAAATGTCCCACTATCATTACTACTGTATTGCTGTTGTTATTGAAGTTATAGTCTTAAAATTCATTCAATTAAACTCTTACATGTGAGTGTCACGGTTAAATGTTCATTATTATTGTTACAATATGGTTATATATGTAATAATTATACTGTATTTAACAAGATGTACAGTAATACAAAATTATTTGTCTCGTAACAGAAGCTTACATTATTACAGTTGTTGTTTTTAGCACCCTTAATTGCTTGGAGATAATTTTTGGATTTTCTCTAGTAAAGTGCCTGTAAATCAGCAAAAACTGTGTTGTTTTGTTATGTGTCTCTCAGTTGGGGTTCTGGGGACAGACACGCCCCGTGGGGAACACTGGTTTTTCTATCTGAAGGAGGCCATCACTTTGTCTGCTCTGAAAAGCATTACAGGTTATTTAAGTCGTCTGAAAATACCATTTTCGTGGGGATCTGAAGGTGCATATGGTTTCTGCAACCATGGTGAAGTGTGCACCCTTCCAGAGACCTTTGGGCATTTGTCGCAGGGGGGTATTAAAATGTGAAGGAGGGCTTCTGCTGGTGGATACGAAGTTGAAGTGGTAGAATAACGAAAAATATTCAAGAAACGAATATTTCATCTTGACAAGACGAAATATTCGTTTCTCTACTG